CTAGAAGACTCAATCTACTTCCATAGTGTGGGCATCCGGGAAGTAACAATCGCCCACACACTTCCAAAAGCACACGAAGCCTTCCTGAGCATCATTCTCCTTTACCCACATCACCTTCATCATCTTACTCCCCTACTACAATTAGTACTATTCTTCAGGCTAGTGAGGCATCTTCACTTCACTCTGTAACATATGTTCTGTAAACCTTGAAAATTATATCATTTTTATGTCAGATGAGAGAGAAGAACGAGAACTGTTAAGACTGAGTTTTTGCTAGTTGTTACAGTTGATGAGGCTGTTATGATCAAGAACTTGTACTCAAAATGTGATCTACACAATAAAGAGACTAATATGAAATTACACACCATCACACTGTAATGCTAAGAAACAGGTTGATTAAACAGATCTCCATTATTTTGTGAGTATAAAGTTAACCAAGAGTCATAGTGTTTTGTAAAGCCATGAAAGTGATTCTTAAAATGAATTATAAATGTGTTTCTCCTTCAGATGAGTAGGAAGACATCAGTAAAAACTATATCAGTATAACTATTTGTAATACTGAACTTTTAAAACATCTGTTTACATGATTTAGCCGTATAGTATATAGAGGTCAACATCACGCAGCATGAAATACAAGATCCGGATTTTCAACTCCAGTGTGAAGTCAGTGCTAGGGATCAGAGACTTGGCCAGCGCGTCACGAAGGCCACTTCAAGCAAAATACAGATCTTCGTTAACAGCTACCTTTGCTCACTACCAACCAAGATCAGATGGGAGACAAGAAAAGATCAGCAACAGGGACCTCTCGTAATGAGCTAACCAACCAAGCAGGAACTGATTGTGCAACAAATATGCAGGAAGAAATGGAGGTGGATTCATCATACTCTGAAAGTGAGTGACATCACAAGCCAGGTCATCAGTCGAGTGGAGCCCGAATGGGAAGTGGCTAGCTGAACGTTAGCGCGAGAGTGGGGTGGCATGGAGGAGGTCATGTGAAGAGGAGATGAAAGCATATGGGCAGACGTGGGGCCAGATGAAAACGTTGGCGGAGAACCGAACACCAATGGAGACGTTCGGCTGAAGCCCTTTTGTTCCTCTAGGAACTAAAGGAAACAATTATACTAATAATATGGTTGACACATCATTCCTTTTCACTGCCTATAACTATACATTTTTCAATAATTTGTATAACGATTTAGCTGAAATAAGGGGCAGTTAGCCCAGGATTAAAATATTTTTTTAACAACGTAATGTTAATGAAGAAATACTGTTATTATTTTACTGACTGGATCAGCCTCAATTTTTAGTGATCAACCTACTATAGCTAGAGAACCACTGGAAACCATATACTACTGGACATCTATTCCACTCTAGTTTGAGAATTTTTAACACTGTGTACTCACCGGCCTAAGGTTAGTATCGTACGCAGTACCTCCTGGTTTTAGGGCGAAGTTGATAACTCTTCAGCTACTGATATGGAATACGAAACTCAGTTTGCGACGTATTGTGCAATCATCAGTGGAGATACAACAAACAGTGGTGAGGAATAATATTGATCTATTCCATTTTTTCGGTTCTTATCAGCTGCGTATAACAGATTATAATGCAATTTTAATATACATTTCTTTTATCATCATGAAACAGACCTCTAGAAGGGATTGCTACAAGCAAGTTAGTGGAGCGAAACATAAAGATAAGATTACTTCAGATTATGGGTACACCTACAATTACGCATATATTATTTCGCAAGAGTAAAGTTTCACCTAAGCGATGAACAATTTTTTTTGTCAGGGTGGTGATAAGTTAGTGATAATGTAGTAATCAGAAATTAAAAAAAACAATCGACTAATTAGAACTCAGAAGGCAAGAAAATCAAAATGTGGTCTGTACGAAATCGAATGAAAAGGCGATAATGAAATACAATGAGTACACTTCAAACGATCAATAATCAAGTCTAATATAAGTAAAGTTTCAGCCTTTTTATTGTGTTAGACTTAGCAAATTGAAGATGACTTCGGTTGTTTTATGTGTTAATTATTTTAAATGCCTTCCAAAGTGTCCGCTCGATGTCCTGCGCCTAAAATAGCTGTTTGTTAACTAATGAGTTCAAACTAATTCGGTCCATTTAATCGAAGGCCTCTTTGGTTCATCCACAAAGAATCTGCTATAAGCCCACCTTTCTTTTCACCCGGCTTAAATGCTCCCACAGTAACACATGAATTGATACACAACAGTCGGACGTATTATATGAGAGGTGTTTGCCGATTTCAGTCATGAGAATCGACGAAATAAAATGGGATTCATATAATTCGGCACCGATGTAACTTCTCTCTCTGTTCAAATCGATGTAGGGAAATTCATTCGTTATCTAACTTCCATATTATTTTGTTTATTAGATGTACAACACACAGTGTGAAACATTATTATTTACTGGATGATGTTTCGAACAAAATTTATTGTTCATAATCATGTGATCAATTATAATCACATGACTTCGAAACTTGAGTTTTATAGTTTCTTTTGTTTTCTCCTATTTTTCTTAGGGGTAGTAGAATTTTTCCAGATATCTGTCTGGGACAGGTTTTGAATCATTCCTACTACATGTATTTGCAGTTGACTAGATAAACAAAGCTTCTGTTATCAATCTCTCCCTCCACCCTGCTGTTACATTATATTTTAAACTATCATCTTATCCCATCCATCCTGTTGTATGGTTGTGTGTAACTGCATGTAGTGACTGGTATAGCTGAACTATTCTCTAGATTTCTTATCTTATTCGGATCAACTAATCTAGATTTTGCTGGGTTTTTATGCTCGGCTAGTCTGGCTGACTGCCCCTGTTCTACTAGTTTGACTTATGTATTTGACCTCACAATCATCGCAGGCAGGATATTAGATAAACTAAATTGTTTTGTTTTATTGGTTCCACTGGCAGGATCCTTTAACTGACAAAGCCTGTTTCTAATTGAGTTTGTGGTTGGTTTGAATGGCAGCCACTTTTATTCCTGTCTTATTAAGGATTCTGTGTAAGGTGATTTCTGAGGTTCCTTCCTTGTACGGAATTACTACTGATGATTTAGATTCCTTATTGTTGGTGTTGATGTTATCTTGAACATTTTCAACATGCATGTCGTCATTAATATTATATTATTATTATTATCATTACCACTATCACTAGTATCATTGTTTATTTTATTTTTTCGTTTCCCTACATATTTTCTGACTATTTATCAGGGAAATTATTAAGTTTCAAAGCTTCTCTTTTATGCCTGACTATAATTGATATGATTATGAACAATAAATTTTGTTCGCAAAGGTCATCCAGTAAATAATAATGTTTCACACTGTGTATTGTACATCTAATAAACATACTAATATGTAATTACTTACTACCACAGTGCCCAAGTTTTACACATATATTATTACGTTATCTAACTTGCATCATATCACTGGATTTGGAAAGATTTAATTGTATTCTCTGTCATATTCAGTCACAAATTATATATCAGTCATGTAAAAAACACTGAGGGAAAAATATTCATTCCGAAATAATAGAGAAACCCTCAGCAATTTTCATATTCACGATCTTGAAAGGGTTCGAGCGAAGGAGTGTCAGAAATAGTAATTAATTATTTACAAATTTTAGAAAAATCTGCGTATTTGGTTAACAACTACCTATTATTTTTATTTATTTTGGTCTAGGCTATTTTAATTGATTCTCAATGAGGACATGTTCATTCTATTGAGGATGTAGGTAATTCCAGGCGGTGAGTTCAAAACAGGACAAAATGAGTATTATAGCTTCCTCTGCTAGACCTTATCAACTAAATAACTTAATTATTCATATTATTATAAATACTGTTCCCTTCGATTTGGAGAAGAACATAGGACTTCAGTAACATATCATTGTTCAGTCCTATTCTCTTCAGTCCTGTCTAGCTGCTGCATGACTACTAATCTGCTCCTCACTCAGTGTCATCCATGTCGTCTATCTCGGACACATGCCTGACTCATCATTTCCCATTTGCATTCCAATCAATGACCTTTTGTACGAATTCAATCGACGGTCTCTTCAGCTGATGTCCAGTCTATCTCGATTTCCTCCCACCTATTTGTTGAGTGGTAGATTGCTGGTTGATTCGTTAATCCCTTCTAGCCTACCGTTTTTTCAGTATCACTCCAGTGAGGGCAGTTGCTAATAAAAACCTGAAGCCTGTTGGAAACGGTTTTGTTGATGCACCGTGTCTCTTAATCATATAGAAGGACTGAATGACTCAACATTAGTGACTGAAATCCGAGTTCTGGTATTGATGCTGAGCGCAGAAGATTCCCACACTGGTTTCATACTGTTGAAGGTTTGTCCAGCCTCTCCAGTCATACCTGGTTTTGAAATGTTCATCCATACAGCCTGCAGGTGAAACGACGCTACTTAGATACATGAAATATCTGACGCCAGTCAAACTATTCACATGTTTATTATGTATATGATTTATCGAGTAACTTATGAACGATTATTTCATAACTTATTGTCTCGCCAACCCCCCCCCTCTCGTCTTACTTAACTTTTCATCGACATAACATATACTCACTTTAACACTCCACCAACCTCGTTGTTCATAATTCTCTAAATCAATAGATCTTGTTGACAGACAAACTAATCAGGAAGTAAGTAAGTATGCTGATTGGTTGATTAATTCACTTTAATCGTGTATATAAATGCATATCACATATGCTGGTGAATTAGCTGTTTAGTATAAAGCTTTTATTTTGTTTTCTCTATTTACTACTCATTAACGTTCTTGTGAGTAGTGTAGTAATTTGTTGATAAAAATTGCTATGCTTAAGTGTGTATAATCAAATACTATCTTATCAAGATTGAAATATCATATACATCTGTATATATTAACATATTTAAAGAGGATAAACTGTCCAGTTGATAGAAGGCATTGTGTAATCAGCTGAAAAGGTCTCTACTTATATACGCACTTATTGATTGAATCATGAATATAGCAACGAATGCAAATTATCATTATGGTTATGATCAAGAAGCAGATACTGTTAAGGCAGTAACAGTTTCACCGAAAAAGGACAGGTAAAGTGAAAAAAGAACATTTTATTTGCGCGTTTTCATGTTTAATAATTTCATTATTTCCTTACTGATTAACTTCCTATGACACAAAAATATTCAATATTTGTAAGTGAACAATCATTCCTTATAGATATTTTAACACTGCAAAGATTCACTGACAGTTGTCATAAGTGAGGTATTGTATATTATTGATTGATTGACTGAGATAGTTAGTGGATAACACTCATATCCACTAGGAGTGCTTACTGACAATTCAAATCTAAGTGATCTGGATGGCTATTTCTAGGCAAGCTCATCAACAGTTTACATGGTTTACATTAAGCTCAGGGAGTCGAATTTGTTCAAAGCTCGAAGAGACTACTACTAATATGTTGAAATAAATTTCTTAATTGAATAAATATACTTAGGATTTGCATTTTATACAGTTCTAAGTGAAATTTCACCACAATTCCTTTTGAGAATCAAAAATTACAATCAAATTACAATATGTGATTTTGAATAAAGCAAAAACAAAAGTGATTTGTGCAGAATAAATAATATGGTACCATCATTGTTCATTTCGTTGGCTTCTCATCAACTGAATTTCTACAGAATGCTTGAAACCAGATTTATGAGTAGTTCAGAAAGAAGCAGTTACGAGTCTTTCCTTTCCCTGGATATCTTTATTCCCTCATTTGATTGCGTAATCTTTGCCTTTAACCTCACCTCTACCCCCATTGGTATAGTGTAATTTTGTTTGTCTCTTGTTTCTATGATTTGAGTTGAACTCAGTACATTGTCACCTAATTTATTAGTCACTCAGCATCTTATGCATCTCTCGTCTTTATTACGTAACTCCTTTACCATTGTTTGCATAGATTTATTGTGTTTAAACTTGAACTACCTGTGTAAAAACTACATAAGAGCAATTTTCTGAGCACTGTTCACTAATTGTGGAACCTTCTGTCAGCTGACATCATGAAAAACATTTGTAAGTATGTTAAAAATTTTCTGTACATAAACCTCATAATTTATTTAGGCTGTTAGCAGTAGCTGATAAGAAGCCAACGAAATAAACAATGATGGTACCATATTATTCTGCACAAACCAACACTGATGTTCTTGCTTTATTCAAATTCATCAAGGGGAATATGTGATCTGTTTCAGAAAACAGACATGAATGCATCTTATTGCATAGTATCGATTGTGTAAGATAAGTATTTGAATATCGCTCACATCAACCAGTAGTGAGTAGTGATAGATTACTATAAGTTTAAATTGCTACATTGTTCAGAAGAGTGATTTCTCACTCTACATTTAGATTTATTATGAGGAAAAACAGTTTCCTTTTTGTCAGCTAAGAAATATCATTTTCTTTTTCCAACGATTTCATTTTCAAGCCAACTGTACAGTCGTATTCATATTACAGAAAAAGAAGGTATTAACTAGCACTAGAAATTGCTCAGTCAATATTGAACATATTATGATAAGAATAAAGATAATTAAAATGATGTACTAAGGGAGTAGAGTTGAAGACGGTGAATTACAAAACTCTTAAAGATTATTGATTAAGTGAAGTGGTATAAAGATTTCAGAATTTTAGGTCAAGTGTTGTCTAAAAAAATTAGTAGTATGGTGACGATAACATTAAAGATGAGAAGGTAAAGATTAATCGATAGAAATATCAAGAAAGAAACTTTTCCCAAGGCAAGTCACAGTGCCAGAGAAGACACTGTTTATAAGTTTGACTTTCAAAAGTGACACTGCTGCTGAAGTCATTAAAAGTCGTTTATCTAAATGTATTAGAAAGCACTTTTTATGCAGCTGACTTACATTTAGTATTTACCAGCCAAAATATGTTTTGAAATGCAATTACCACTTATGTCCACCTCTGTGTGCATACACTCATTCACATGCTCATATGGAGCTGATTACATTGGACGTTGTAAGCGTGTTCTCTGTAAACACGTAGCTGAACACTACCGATGCCATTTGGTGGTCTCCTCAATGTATGCCTGATCCATCTCCACTTTCTCCTACATCTTTGTTGAGCGATCGGCTCCCGCCTGTTGGTTTGTTACATTGCGGAGTTTCTTGTTGCTTATTCTTTTTGGCTGTCTACAACCTGTCGGGCTCTAGTAGAGCTGACTAAATCAGATTGTAGAGAAAGGAGTGTAATGGCAATGTGCTGCTGAAGCCGTATGTTTTACATAAAATCGAAGAGAATAATAGTAATGCATACCCACATATAAATCTCTTAAAGACCATAGAATTATAAGGGCTTAAAGGTTGTTTATGCGTTCAAAACTTATTTGTTATTACACTGAACTTGCCCTGATGAGGTAATCGTAATACTAAGACTTATTGACACAATAATATTTCCCTCCTTACCTTTATTTGTGAATATTATTTTTGCCTCCAAATAAACATTTTGATCCAGATCAATTCGACTTCAATTTTTTTATAATTTGTATTGTATGACAATTGCATACGTAGAACAACACATTTAAGCGAACAATGTTGTGCTGTCAATTATATCTCATCAGGCTCAACTCTAATATACATCACTTTACAAATAAAATTTTAAATACAAACCAATCATGGTGTTTTGTTTGTAGGATGATAAGATGGTGCATATAAATTGATTGGATGGAGGATTTCATCATAAGCTCACATCAGTTAGAGCACCATTGGAAAACGTACAGGGAGTACTAGACAACTGTTTCGTCCTAGTATGGAACCTCTATCAGTACGCAGCCACCGCCATGGTTCGAACCCAGCACCCTCCGGTTACAAGACTAACGAGCTTGTACAAATTGAGCCATTGGGACCTGATTCAATGGCCAGTCCATGAATTCTAACTTCTGCCAATTCTCGACAAAGCGCTACCATTTCACAGTGTCTTCTTTGATGAGTTACTGATTCATCTTCACCTGCTGTACCCTACTGGTCAGGGCTTCCCACTCATCATAATACTAGTAATCATCATAATAATAATGGTTTTATCAATTATAAGGATGAAAAATTGAGGCGATCTGTGATAACAAGAATAACGAAATCAGAATGATTAAACAAACAGATGTTCAGGTAGAAGTAGTCGATAAGGCTATGAAAAACAAATGAACCGATTACGTAATGCTAGATTGTAAGGGAAGTAAATGAAACACGTTTATAATGAAGATGGGATAAGATTAAAGGATAATAAGAGGGGGTTAAAAATATAATTAAGGGATACGGTGAAGTTATCATGTCTCGATAGGTCAAGAGAACTTCTTTTGAATGCATAGTTTAGGTTCAATAGTGTTATTAGAGGGAGGTTATCTGAAAATGTGATGTTTTTGCGCTATACATTTCGAACAACTTGATCACACATTTACTTGTCAAGTCGGTGGCGTCGGTGGCACATAGGTTAGGACTCTCGCCGACCATACACATCGTCCGAGGTTCGAACCCCTGCCAACTCACACCTGATATCTATAGTCGGCCTGCAAAATTTGGGCTACCGATATCCCTGCTGAAAATTCCATACTTGTGCCAAAAATACACTGTGGAATCAAGCTGTAATCAAAAATAAAAAAAAATAAAAAATAAAATATATATGAAAAAGTTAAATTGAACAAAGTGACAAAAATAGGATTTAAGAATGATTAACACAACTTTTGTTAATGCAATCAAATAAGGATTACCAAGGTTTATGATAGCATAAATACATCACATTTTTCAGATAATCTCCTTCTTCTAATAACACTATCCAAATTTATAAAAGGGAGTTATGGTTTTAAATTAGCTTTAATAGTTCGAATGCCTATTGCCTCAGCTCTGTTTAGTAGACGGATACGAAGTCTACTGGAAAGATTCGGTGGGTTAGAAGTGTGGAAATATATGCGCTACACATGTTAGACAGTTTGTGTCCTTATCACTTTGTTGAGATTCATAAAACGAAATAAACTACGCTAAATGGAACTTTCGCCTTATTACTGTAAAATAGGATGAAATGAGTCCTGAACACCTTGAACATAGTGTTCTTAATTTTCGTGTTATTCTGTTTGTTTTCCAGACCACCTTCTCCACATCCAATTCAATCAACACTGAGTAAGTCCATCCTATTTCATTGTATTTTAAGTGTAGATAATTAACGCCACTGTATTTGTAATGCATTGATATATATATATATATATATATATATATATATATATATATATATATATATATATTACTATTATAATTCACGACAGGTTTTCAAACAACAGGTAGCCCTTTATTGATCCAAATAGTATAAGTTATTTGGATGAAATATGTGTGTGGAGTTTTTTGGCAATTAAACAGAATTAATAGTATTTAACAAAGACTTCAACATGAATTAACATAAATTTGAGAACCACTAGTAACCTCACAAAGCACTAGCTATCTGTTTCGTCCTAATTTGAGACTTTGCAGCATTACGAGTTCATATTCACACAGACAAGATGGATGAAACAAGGACCTTCAGGTTACAAGATAAGCACAATTCGTTTTTAAATCCTTTACCTTCCGAGTGGAACATAAGGCTTCAAACTAGAGGCTTAAAGTTCCTGTAGCAGTTGGTAGGGTCGGTAGCCTCATGCTCAAGCTTTCCTCTTTATCAGCTTTATTACTGGCTTAGCGAAGTGAGGGAGTGCATCTACGGGATATCTAACCCCGGATCACCTGCGTGGTCGGCTGGTATTCTACCGCTATGCCACCAACCCACAATACTACACTCTGAATGCAATGACTATGAATTTTGATTTTGTCATGTCGTAATTCAGTATCGCTATCTTCCGGTGTCACCAACGAGTATCTACCCTCACATCTGAAGTGACTGATCTGAACGATTCGGATTATTCATTAAAATTCCTCAAATTCCATTTTGTGGTCAACCATTTGCAATCAGTTGGCTAATTTCCAGGTGTTGATTGATACGGACATGATTGATTTCAGTAGTATATTTCATCATGTAATAGTTTTGGGTATTCAGTAATAAGGATTGAGGAAAATAATGACTCTCTACTCAGAAATTCTAACACTTTCTAAAGCAGCATAATGCTTTATATACCACATGAGAAATAAGGTTTAGACTTAAAACTTTCTTTTATAACAGTTCTTGAATACCGGAAAATGGTAAATTCTATAAATCAAATTAAAAATCCGCAAATTAATTTGAAATTTACACAGTCAGAAGTGATTATTTCAACACAGTTTCCTTTGGAAACCGAGATTATACAGATGTCAATATATGGTCTTCTTAGTGTCATAATTGATGCTGAAGAGAGCAGGCAAAATTGCATAATTTTCTATAGTTGGTTTGTAAGGATTAGATTTGTTTTTATGAGTGGATCACGGACTGTTATCAGTTAGAGAAACATTGACAACCAGCAGGGAGTACTGGACAGCTGTTTGATCAGTGGTTGCATACTGCCAATGATTCCCAAACTAATATGAAACAGTTGTCAAGTACTCATTAGTTTTCAATGGTTCTGTAACGGATAACAGTCCGTGACCAGCTCGTAAAAATGATTGCATAAAACTACATACTACTGGTTAATTGGAATGAGTAGTTGTATACTACTCACATCAACCAATAGTACTCATTGTTCACCCAGACAGAAGTGATCTAAACCCTGGACTGCCGTTTTGTTCGTCTGTTGCTGGACTCAGTAGAGCACAGTTGAATACAATATCTACTCCTTCCATGAATAATAAACTAAAGCATAACTAATTACATTGAAAAGAAGAGAGATGTGGGCTGCTAGAAGAATGCATTGATATACACCCGACATATATCAGCTGTCTTACAATGTTTCCAAAATTGATTACTGATTAAGGTGAATCGATAAAAATCAGTAACATCAAATATCAAAGCCTGCTAGGTAGGTTGAGGTTATCTGAAGAGCAGATGGCGGTATCTGTAGTTTGGAATAAATCATAGATTTACTTTTTGAATGTTCTTGAGGTCCCTGAAGGAAACCAAGGTAAGACTGATGAATTCAGATGGTGTTATTTGACTCAACTTTGGAAGTTGAGTCATTCTGGATAAACTAACAAAGAAATTGGTGCTAAATGGGTGAGCAACACTTCCGTGCTTAGGTCATATCACTACTTGTCAGTTGCTCATATCCTTGGTATATCCATGTCTGTGTTAAAATGCTGTCGCCTGGTAACTTAATGATCCTTAGTTCGACCACTATTTGGGTTACGCTTTCATAGTGATGAGGAATTCTAAATCATAACAAAATGGATGTTCAGAACTGACTGGCGTTTCTCCTTCATGAAACCGAACTTTAAATAATAAATCATGCTAACATGTAAGAATACTCATGTAGAGGAAAACTTAGTTTTGACATTTTTCACAACTTCATTTTCTGATTTATTTTATTTATTTGAAGCCTACTAACAAAGTCACTTCAGGACTTTTCAGACAGTAAATTAACTTGAGTACTAATGTCTGTCTGTCTGTTTTCGACATAGAACTTTGCACAAATGTGCGGAAGTTCAAGTCGCTACACTCCGTGTAGCACGCGAAGCAAGAGAAGAAAGTACAAGAAAAGCATAATAGAGACAGTGAGCAGAGGTGTGAGACAAAGGAGTAATAAAGAAATACAAAACAGTTTCATTGGAGATCATAAGTCACAAGGAGTGGATGCATCTGCGCCACTGAGAACGATTTTGAGCCATGTCACCAATTGTTTCCAACCATAGATTTTTACCGTCCCGAGGACCCCAGCCTGGAAGTCTACACCTTCCTACGTGGCTTAGACCAACTGTTGTGGATTTCATTGACTGGTGCCATGTTTTTGTTTGACCGCCGCTAGCTTTTTTCCAGCCTGACCCTATATCCACTAACATTGCTCGTCGAGGGAGGCGATGGCTTGGCATACGTAACACATGTCCTAACCATCTCAGTCTTTGTAGCTTCACGACTTCGTCGATTGATTTCCCCTGTTTACCTAGAACTCGACGCCTAACCTCCATGTTGCTCACCTTATTATGCCACTTTACACGGTAAATAGAACGCAGGCACCTATGATCAAAGACAGCTAGTCTTTTCATGTCTTCCACTCTCAGTGACCAGGTCTCACAACCATAAAGGAGGACGGAGCGGACTGACGTGCAGTACACCCGCCCTTTGGTCGATAGTCGAACATCTCGTCTACGCCAGAGTCGGCGTAAACTGGCAAATGAGTACTAATAATTTAGTTGCGCTAGAGTATTCTTAATCTCTAGTCTTATGCACTGAATTAGTGCGTCTTCTGTATTGTAGATGTAATAATTCCATTTTGGAGGTTAAGTATAAGTATGTGATGAATGTACATCTGTGAGAATCAAGGTGTGTAATCTTGTTAGTCCTCTGGTTTAATATCCACGCTAACAATGATTCAAACTTTTCTGCAGTATTACTTGATTTATAGTGGCGAACAGTCCGTCTTAGTGATAGAATAATCGTTAGCTATGCAAGTGGTATAGGGTTGGGTTTTAGGCCAAAGTACTCCTAAATCCCTCTTAGCCGGTGGTAGGTCTAGTAAAGAGGGAAGGTTAGACATGCGATTAAGAGTACCACCCCTTACAAACAAAGTCACTACTACTGAAACTTAAAGGCTGAAGTCTAAAGTCATATGTTCCAAGGCAAAGGAGTGAAAAAAGTACAGTGAAATCCGTTCCAACTGAGACTTTTCAGATATATGTACCTTAAGACATAATCAAAGTGTAATTACTAAGGAACAACATGTTAACAGAAATAAATCAATGGAGCAGTATCAATTACTGTTTCTTGTAGTATCATGAACTAGTTAAATGAAACGCATTTTGTACTGTTTCTACAACTGGAATTTAACTTTAGTTTCAGGTTAATTTGCATTTCCCGCTGATTAATTGTACTGAGCCGAAATGTTCAGTCTCTACCGACTCTTTGGCTCCTAGGGCGGACGCTTCAGCGATGTCTAAAAGATTGATGTGATATTGAGGTTTTGATTGAGGATGACAAGCAGTGGAATCCAGATGACTAGTCTAAAATGGGATGAAATGCGAATTCTGAATTCCACTGCTAGTCAACACTAATGGTAATACCACAATGTCTACCAATTAAATATATATATATATAGTGACTAAAGTACTAAAGGGTATCAAACTAGAATGAAACGCTTCTTCAAGAATTGAAAACATTTGTATCCCGATACGAATTTAAAACAAGCACTAAAGGTTAATAAAGCAGGATGATTTAATGAATTCATCAAATTTCGGTAGAACTCGTCAGCTGAATACTCTACATACACGGATATATATCTATATATATGTTTACTTTTGAAATTACATTGGGAGATATAAGACTGATAAGTAAACAAACTACATTGAATTAGTCATGCAGAAAGACGACAGGTGCGAATGTTTTGCAGGTCATGTTCAAATAGATAAGGGGAAAGAGAGGGAGTATGAGAGATCAAAATTAAGATAAATTGCATAATGCTTCAATTTCATCACTTAGATAAACAATAAGTCATTAGGGAATATAACAAGAATTGCAAACAGAGTAATATCAATAGTAATAGTTATAATAACAATAATAATAATAATAGTGTTGCAGTGAGTTAAGATAATGCTACTGATAAAGGATAGTTTTAAATGAATCAAGAATAATAATAATAAGAGGTAGAATAATAAGCAAAACGTATTACTACGGCAGATTAGAAGTAACGACCATCTCCTTTTTGTACACAGAGACCTGGTTTATAAACTTAAATTGCACAAGCCTCTGCAATTGTAAGCCTCTTCTTGTTTCCTTGTCTGCAGACAATAGTGAATGTGATTTGATAGCGTCAGTATCATGTCCATAGTTCACAAGATGTTTTGTTATTGAGGATTTTGGCACTTTGCATTCAGCTGTTTTCAAACCATTTTGGTAAATGCTCCATCATGCGAGTAGACAATGTAGTTTGTTTACTTATCAGTCTTATATCTCCCAATGTAATTTCAAAAGTATACATATATATAGATATATATCCGTGTATGTAGAGTATTCAGCTGACAAGTTCTACCGAAATTTGATGAATTCATTAAATCATCCTGCTTTATTAACCTTT